TGGTGTAGGTTTGCAGGCTCTCATTGACCCTAAACCGTCCAAACCTTCTAAACCCTCTCAACTCAAGCAACCACTAAACCCCTCCAAACCCTACACCCTAAACCCCGAAACCAAAGCCCCAAGCAGTTCGGTGTGACACTTGAGCTTGAGCCTGGCCAGCTTGGGTCAACGCCAGAAGTCCTCAGCAAGGCCCACTCTACTACTCGAATAGTGTTGTGGTTTAGGATTTAGCGTTTTTTGGGGTTTGGTGTCAGGTGTCGGGTCGTTCTTAGCCCGCAGCAGCAACCCCTAAGCGCTAAGAAGCTGTTGGGGGTTCTGTTCCGACTTCGTCCACAAGCAACAACCCTTCATCATCAAGACGCATGTGGGGTCTGTTCGAACCCCCAAAACCCTGTAAACACTGAAGCCCTGCAAACCCTGTGTATCACCCTAAACCCTAAACCCTAAACCCTAAACCCCAAACCCCCAAAGCCCAGGCTACTGGGGCGGCGACTATCTTCCCGGTTCGCCCGCCCTCGAGGATCCTCCTACAACTCATACCACAAAAGAGGCTCTCAGGTTGCGGGCTGACTTTTAGGATTTTGGGGCTTTTAGGGCTGAGGGGTTTTAGGACTTTGGGGGCATTTGGGGTCTTTCGGGGCTTAGGGCTTTACCTTTCAACAGCCCCAACCCCAATCCCCAAGCCCCCCCACGACCCCGACGACGTGTCCTAAACCCTAAACCCTAAACCCTAGACCCTAGACCCTAAACCCTAAACCCTAAACCCTATACCCTAAACCCTAAACCCTATGTCCTAAACCCTGTGTCCTAAACCCTAAACCCTAAACCCTAGACCCTAGACCCTAAACCCGCCCGCCACCCCTCTCACCTCTGTTGGGGTAGGCGGGCGCAGTCGAGCGCTCAGCGAGACCACGGCAGGCTCTGCTAGGCTGCAGAGCCTGCCAGGCACACTCCTGAGAGGGTCGCCTAGCTAGAGTCGCCTAGCTCGTCTCAGATAAATATTAGTACCCTAAACCCCAGGGGGGGGGGTCCTTTTTCAATTCCTGGCGGCCCCTTGACCCTGGCCCTGCACTGGTCCTGGCCCTGGCCCTGAACCTGGCGCCCTTGGCCCCCTCCTCTGGCTTTATGTTGGCCCTGTCTGGCCCTAGGTCTGGCCGGCGCTGCCCTGGCCCTGACCCTGGCCTTGGCCCTGGCATTGGCCCTGACCCTCGCCCTGGGCCCTGGCCCTGGCGCTGGCCCTGGCCCTGGTGCTGGCCCTGGTTCTGGCCCTGGCTCTGGCCCTCACCCTCACCCTGGCCCTGGCCCTGGCCCTGGCCCTGGCCTTCAACCCTTGGTAGGACCTTAAACCCTCCCAGTCAGGGGGGCTTAAACCCTTCCAGCAAGTAGGGCAAACCCTTCCACTGGCAGAAAGCTGCCAAAGAAGGCCCTGGAGCTGATTTTTGCAATTGCGGAGACTCTTCACGCCCTGAAATTTTCTGTGAGAGGGCCCTTCGGCCCAGACCGTCCCCTGCGCAAAACCTGAGGGGGGGGGTCCTTTGCCTTCTCCCCCAAGTGACCTCCGAAATCAAGGGACACCCTCGGCACCCCCTCAAAGTCGCAAATGCCAGTAAGCAGGGGGGTCTTAAACCCTTCCAGTAGGCAGAAGGCTGCCAAAGAAGGCCCTGGAGCTGACAGGAAGCCCTGAAAGGTCCGACCCCTCGCTTTGACCGCTCTAGTGAGTTTCGTTCTCTTGCAAAACCTGCAGACGCTTCACGCCCTGAATTTTCTGTGAGAGGGCCCTTCGGCCCAGACCGTCCCCTGCGCATAACCTGAGGGGGGGGGGTCCTTTGCCTTGTGCCCCCAAGTGACCTCCGAAGTCAAGGGACACCCTTGGCACCCCCTCAAAGTAGCAAATGTCCCAGGCAGTGCTCGACATGCTGCCTTCTGGCCCCAGATGATCTCCGACTTCCTAGTGTCCCAATCAGCCACTGTTCCCAAGTCCCCCCAAGAAATCGCCAACAGCTCGCCTCAAGTTCGGCAAGAGTTCACGACTCGCAAATATCCCAAGCATTCGCAGTGTTTTATCTTAGTGTGCTCTGAACATGTTCGATATGTGAAATTTGAATGGCTGGCTTGGCTTTGGCTGGCTCCGGTTTGGTTTCGTGATGAGTATTGTTTGGGTGGCCTCGGGGTGGGCATGTCTTCACACTTTTGCGTTCAGCTGACCAATGCTACACCCTAAACCCTAAACCCTAAACCCTATACCCTAAACCCTAAACCCTAAACCCAAAACCCTAAACCCTAAACCCTAAAACCTAAACCACAACCATAAACGCTATAGGACCCCGACAGTGTGTCCATGGCCACCTGGGAGCCTGCCGAGCTTCTTCCGGCGCAGCTTGGGTTGTGCTGGGGTTTAGGGTTTAGGGTTTAGGGTTTAGGGTTTAGGGTTTAGGGTTTAGGGTTTAGGGTTTAGGGCTTAGGGTTTAGGGTTTAGGGTTTCCCATCCCCCCAAAAATGAGCGCCAAGGGTTTGGGGCTTGGGATTTGGTGGGATAGCCAAGATCCGCAACAGACCCCAGGTGTGGCCCCTTTTTTTGTTTTTTTTGTTGGTTCCGATTTCTATATATGTTTTTTGATAAGAAACTGAGGTATGCCACAAGACCAGAAACTACACCTGGGTGTCTGAGTCCCATACCCTAAACAACCCCATTCCTCGAAGCTAATGAGGGAATAGGGTTGAGGCGTGTTTAGACCCTAGAAGCCCCAAGCCCCTAAACCCTAAACCCTAAACCCTACAACCTCCATCTGAAGCCCTACATCGTAAAGCCTCTCATCGTATGTTGGGTTTGAAGTTTTCGGTTTGGGGTGCAGCGGTATACACCCCCAAGCTCCTAAACCCTCAACTAGACCGTAGACCCCAAACCCTAAACCCTAAACCCTAAACCCTAAACCCTAAACCCTAAACCCTAAACTCGATGCCAAGGGCCAAGCCCGCACTTTGGCACCGGCTCCAGAACGAGAGCTCCTTCTGTCGCCATTGGAAAATGCTTGTGACGTCTTTAGGGTTTATAGAGGGTTTAGGGTTACGTCTTTAGGGTTTAGGGTTTAGGGTTTAGGGTTTGGGGTTTAGGGAATCTACAAAAGAGTCACTCATGAACACCATAGCGCCCCGCGAACAGCGCGAACAGCGCGAACACCGCGAACACCGCGAACACCGCGAACAGCCGGAACACCGCGAACACCACGAACAGCACCATAGCGCCCCGCGAACAGCGCGAACAGCGCGAACAGCGCGAACAGCGCGAACAGCGCGAACAGCGTGAACAGCGTGAACAGCGGGAACACCGCGAACACCACAAACAGCACCATAGCGCCCCGCGAACAGCGCGAACAGCGCGAACAGCGCGAACAGCGCGAACAGCGCGAACAGCGCGAACAGCGTGAACAGCGTGAACAACGCGAACAGCGCGAACAGTGCGAACAGCGCGAACAGCGCGAACAGCGTGAACAGCGTGAACAGCGCGAACAGCGCGAACAGCGCGAACAGCGCGAACACCGCGAACACCGCGAACACCGCGAACAGCGGGAACACCGCGAACACCACGAACAGCACCATAGCGCCCTGCGAACAGCGCGAACAGCGCGAACAGCGCGAACAGCGCGAACAGCGCGAACAGCGCGAACAGCGCGAACAGCGTGAACAGCGTGAACAGCGCGAACAGCGCGAACAGCGCGAACAGCGCGAACACCGCGAACACCGCGAACACCGCCAACAGCGGGAACACCGCGAACACCACGAACAGCACCATAGCGCCCCGCGAACAGCGCGAACAGCGCAGCGCGAACAGCGCGAACAGCGCGAACAGCGTGAACAGCGTGAACAGCGCGAACAGCGCGAACAGCGCGAACAGCGCGAACAGCGCGAACAGCGCGAACAGCGTGAACAGCGTGAACAGCGTGAACAGCGCGAACAGCGCGAACAGCGTGAACAGCGCGAACACCGCGAACAGCGCGAACAGGGCAACGGAGCGTTCATAAGTCAAAAGAGTAGGTTCTGGGTTCTGAAGGTAGGCCCTGGCTTTGGGGGGCCTTTTAGGGGTTGAGGGGTTGAGGGTTGGGGTTTAGGGTTGAGGGTTTGGGGTTCAGGGGTTTAGGGTTTGGGGTTTAGGGTTTAGGGGTTTAAGATCTAGGAGTCTAGGGTGTAGAGCGTTAGGGGCTTAGAGTTTCGGGTTTAGGGCTTTTTGCTGTTGGGAGCCCAGTGACCAAGAAGCTGGGTGGCTCGCGCAGCCGAGGCCAGTTTCAGATGCTGGAGTACTGGTACGCAGTGATTCGGCCACTCGCAGAGGAGCAAAACGGAGCCTCCTGCCATTAGGAACCTCAAACCACCGCCACCCTCCAGCTTTACACCCCTAACCCTAAACCCTAAACCCCAAACCCCCAACCCCAAACCCCAAACCTTATAAGCCCTAATCCTTCAACTCCGAGCCTTCGCAATCCACCCAGCTCCGCATGCAAACCCTAGACCCCAACCCTAAGCCCCAACCCTAAACTCTAAACCCCAAACCCCTAACCCTAAACCCCAAACCCTAAACCCCAGACCCTAACCCTTAACCCTTGAGCTGTGAAGCCGAACCGACCAGCCTGGGAGGGAGGCCTTGCCCAGGATTCGGGTTTGGTTTAGGGTTTAGGGTTTAGAGGGTTTAGGGTTTAGGGTTTAGGGTTTAGGGTTTAGGGTTTAGGGTTTAGGGTTTGATAGGGTTCACAGGGTTGATAGGGTTGTCATGGTTGATAGGGTTGATAGGACTGATAGGGCCGACAGGGTTGATGGGGTTGATGGGGTTGATAGGGTTGATAGGGTTGATAGGGTTGATAGGGTTGATAGCATCGGGTTCAGAAGGGCTATGTTGAGGGTTCAGGGTCTGCGGTTGGGGGTGTGGGCTTTCGGGTTTTAAAGCCCTAAGCCCGAAAGCCTAAACCCTAAACCATACAACGCCCACACCCTAGACCAAAACACAGCAGGCCTACGTGGAGTGGCGGCGCGAGACACTGCGAGGGAAGGGCGATGACTTCTGCGACGAGCAGGCCGTGTCATCTCACCCAGCGAAAGTCGGCCTTAGGGTTCCCGTCCCTAAACCCTACAACAAGCGGGCCTGCCTGCCCATGACTGTGGCTCTTTCCTACACATTCCCATCGTTAACCCTATATGCATGTATAAAACATATATATATATATAGATTTGTATATATGTAGTTCCAGGCTTTCTAAAGCTTTGTATAGAGCTTGTTGGGAAGAATGTGGTTTCATAGGGCTTGCAGGGTTCATAGGGTTGACAGCTGTTTCGAGGATGTGACCCCTGGGACCCCAAACTCCTAATCCATCAATCCTAAACCCGAATCCCTTTACAATCCCGCATGTAACCCTAAGTACAACCCTCACCACCCGAAATACCCTAAATACCGAAATTGCAAAACCTTAATTAATCTCGACCCTAAAACCTGACCCCTCTATTCCCTAAATCCCTAAAGGCCTTGAAACATGCTAAACCCCTCCAAGCACCAACCCCTAAACCCGAAATCCCAAACCCGAAAGCCCATGGACCCCTCAAAGCCCTAAAGCCCTGAAGCCCTAAACTGCTCTAAGCCCCAAACTCTGAATCTCTAAAAACCGTTAACCCTGCATTCCTCCTAAACAGACCTAAATACCTCAAAACCCCTTAAGTCCCCACAAAAAACACCAAAAAACCCTTAACACGCTTCAAAACACCCTCAAAACCCCTAAAGGCCCCAAAACGCCCAAAAACGCCCACAAAAAAAATAAAAAAAACTCCAAAAAACCCTCCAGCGCCAAGACTTGTTCCTCGAACAACCCCTAAACCCTAAACCCGAAACCCTAAACCCTAAACCCTAAACCCTAAACCCTTTCGCAGGGGCTGAGTCCGGAGACCCTGGACATGGCCTTCATGCGCACCTGGCGAGTTGAGTCCAAACCCCCCCCCTCCTCTGCCTTCCAGTTAGGGTTTAGGGTTTAGGGTTTAGGGTTTAGGGTTTAGGGTTTAGGGGTTTAGGGTTTAGGGTTTAGGGTTTAGGGTTTAGGGCGAGGAAGTTGTTCAGTGTCTTGCTCTACAAACTGAGGGGCTGAGGCTGAACTTTTCTGTTCTTAAGACCTAAAGCCCCAAGCCCTCACCTGTATAAGGAACTCAGCAGGCTATTTGGGGAGTTACGAAAATAGGGGACCCCTGTTATAATAGACCCCCAACTAGTAGCATCCCATATAATAAGGACCCCCAAGAAGGTACCCCCCATTTTTCGGAACCCTAAACCCTAAGCCCTAAACCCTAAACCCTAAACCCTAAACACCCCATCTGAGGGTTCAGGGTCTGGGGGGGGGGGGGCGTTTCCTCACGAAGACGAGTTGTTTTCACACATTCGGTTCTGGGAGCCGAAAGCCCTAAATGGGAGTTTTTCCGAAATACTGTCTAGGGTTTCGGGTTTAGGGTTTAGGGTTTAGGGTTACCTTATTGGGGTCCTTACTATAATGGAATCCGATTATGTAGGGGTCTATATTAGCAGTCGAAAACTTCTGCACCCAAAGTAATCCCGTGCCTGGTCTGCCGTAAGAATAAGTTGTGGTGTGGATTTGCCAGGATGGTGCAGCAGTTTGTTTCCTTCATGGTGGATGCGGGCTATGACGGTGAGGCGTGGTAGAGCAACTGCATTCCCCCTTGGCATCCCAGCCTCAATCCCTAAACCCGAAACCCCACAATCCCTAAACCTCATAATCCCTAAACCCCAAACCCTACCCAAGGCTGTTGGGCTTATGACTTGCAGAGTAAAAACCCTGAATGAAAGACTCCATTCTTCGAACTCCGAATCTCATCCTTAACCTGAGCTGTCGCAGTTGTTTGTGGGGACCCCTTCGACAAAACAGGTGGGTTTGGGGTTGCGTTATTAGTTATATTATCTACACGGTTTTTGTAGAGTCTTTATCGTGTTTGTTTAGGTTATGATGGGGTTTGTATAGGGTGTTTTGGGTTTATGGGTTTGGGGATTGTGCAATTTCGGGTTTAGGGTGGGGGGGGGGGGGAGGGGGCCTTCGACCGTTGTAGCAAGCTTGGCCCCCTCGCCAAAATTGGACATAGGGGTTTCTTGCACTTGATCGCAGGAGCATTCACTCAATCAACCCTAAACCCTAAACCCTAAACCGAGCAAGGTTGGAGGTGCATTTTTGAAAAAGCACAGGGTTATCGAAAGGACTAGGGGAATTCCCAACCCGAAGCCCAATCGAATGCCTAACCCTGAGCCCTGCACCCTACCCCTAAATCCCCCTAAACCCTACAATCCCTAACCCTGACCTCCCTATTCCGCATATTCCCTAAATCCTACAGGACCTACGCATACAAACCCTTTGGCAAGACCATGGCCTACTGTAGGAAGCTGGGGCGTCGCTTGCAACCCTCCCTACTTGCCAAGAGTACCCTAAAAACCTCAACCCTTATGATAATAGCCTTTAGAACCCTAAAACCCGTAATTTTTGATGGAACAGACTCTAAAGCCCTTAACCCTTCTGAACCCCGAGCCCGTACAGCCTTGACCCTTGAAACCCGAGCCCTTCAAACCCTTGAAACCCTATATGGCCGTTAAACCCCCCTAACCCCTGAACCCTAAACCCTAAACCCAAAACCCTAAACCCTAAACCCTAAACGCTAAACCCTAAACCCTAAACCTAAACCCTAAACCCTAAACCCTAAACCCTAAACCCTAAACCCTAAACCCCACACCCTTATACCCCCAAATCTCAACTCGCTGGGCAGGACGTCTCCGGTGAGGGTGACCTTGGCGAGGTGGACCCGGTCAAGAAGGGCTCCGACGTCGACGCTGAGACAGAAAGGGTTTAGGGTGGTGTGGGGTTTATAGGGTTTAGGGTTTAGGGTTTTTAGTTTTTAGGGTTTACGGTTTACGGTTTAGGGTTTAGGGTTCAGGGTTCAGGGTTTAGGGTTTAGGGTTTAGGGTTTAGGGTTTAGGGTTCAGGGTTCAGGGTTCAGGGTTTAGGGTTTAGGGTTTAGGGTATAGGGTTCAGGGTTTAGGGTTTAGGGTATAGGGTGTTCGCTTCTGCAGCGTGTAGAGCAGTGACTCTTCCAACCCGGACACCCCGCATCGAAGCCAACGTCTAACACAAAAGCTGCAAGACCCAATGCAGGGGATTACTGTTCTTGGTGAGTGTACATAAGGGGTTCTTTTTTTAATATCGGTGAGTGTATATATATATATATATATATATATGTATACATATATATATAATATATATATATATATATATATATATGGGGTGTTCTCTTTCGGGATACAAGGAATATAAACCCTACTTCGGGGCACCCTTTTTGGGGAGTTAAGGGGATTCTATTCTATATTTGGTATAAAAGGGGTACCCCTAGTTTGGGAAATGCCCCTTTAGTACATACTTGGATGTACACAGCCCTTCACTCGGAAGGTTCGGAGATCACTGATTGGGCTGAAACGGTTGCTCGTGCATGTGACACAGACTGTTTGGACTGGAGTTGCCATGAAACCTTCGAGCTTCGCTGGGTGTAAGTTCCGCTCGGGCTTATCATGGAACCCGTCCAAATCGCAATGGCGATGGGTTATACCCAAGCGGTTGATCCATTACGGCTTTGTCAACCTGTGGCGCCGAGCATGTTTCCACTTGCATGGTTGCGCGCGACTGAATAGAGCCCAATATCCGGCTCGCTGAATCCTGCCTGCGCCTTAGGCAGCCAATTCGAGGGCCATGGGGCATGAGCCCATCTGCCGGGTTTAGATATTACAGGGTTAGGGTTGAGGGTTTAGGGTTTAGGGTTTCGGATTTAGGGTTACCGGGTCTAGGGGTTTAGGGTTTAGGGTTGTAGGGTTATATGCACCCAAACAACCTGTACCCGACTAGCGTCCCTAACCCTAAAACCCTAGAGCCTAGAACCCGAAAACCCTGAGACCCTAAAACCCGAGAACCCTAACACCCTACCCCAAACCAGGGTCAGGTGGCACCCCCCCCCCCTCAGATTTTGGATTGACCTGTACAGTTCTCCGTAGCCCAACATGGGAGTTTACGAAAACAAGGGACTTAAAAATCGACCCCCAAACAGTAGGATTCCCTGATTTGACCCCGAGAACCCTAAACCCTAAACCCTAAACCCCCTAATTTCGGACACCACACATAGTTATTTCGTCCACAAACGCCAGAGCTGAGCCAAGGAACTAACCCCTAAACCCTTGAACCCCTAAACCCGAAACCCCTAAACCCCTAAACCCTAAACCCCGAAATACCAAAACCCTGAACCCTAAACCCGTAAACCCCAAACCCCTAAACCCCTAAACCCCTAAACCCCTAAACCCCTAAACCCCTAAACCCCTAAACCCCTAAATACTAAAACCCTAAACCCCTAAAACCCTAAAACCCTAAAATACTAAAACCCTAAACCCAAAACCCCCAAACCCCTCAAACCCTAAACCCTAAACCCCTAAACCCTAAAACCCTAAAACCCTAAAACCCTAAAGCCCTAAAGCCCTAAAACCCTAAAGCCTTAAAACCCTAAACCCCTAAACCCCTAAACCCTAAACCCTAAAACCCTAAAGCCCTAAAACCCTAACACCCAAAACCCCTAAACCCCTAAACCCCTAAACCCCTAAACCCCTAAACCCTAAACCCTAACCCCAAACCCCTCAACCCTAAACCCTAAGCCCTAAACCCTAAACCCTAAACCCTAGCCCTAAACCCTAGCCCTAAACCCTAAACCCCTGGACCCGAGGATGCCTTGCTCAAAGCCGCCATGGTGGCCGGATTCGCCCCAAACCTCTGCGTCCTTTACCGGGGGAACCGCTCACCGCAGGGGCACCCAGAGATGGACCCTTCGGGTCTGGGTTTAGGGTTTAGGGTTTAGGGTTTAGGGTTTAGGGTTTATTTAGGGTTTAGGGTTTAGGGTTTAGGGTTTGGGGTTTGGGGTTTGGGGTTTGGGGTTCAGGGTTTAGGGTTCAGGGTTTAGGGTTTAGCGGTTTATGCTAATGGATAGAGTGCCGTGCGTGGCGCTTAGATTTTTGAGTTCCTGATCACAGGTCAGATAGAATGGTTCTGTGCTGTTTGAACTGCGTGCAACACTGAGCAAAGTGAAATCAAACACGTGTACTGCAGACAAAGGCTCCTTCAAAAAGTGCTTGAAGGAGCTCTTGTCTTAGCAACACGTAGTTGATTGCACTTTGGCTCGGTGTTCAACGCTTGCGTGCGAAGTCTTGCGTGCGTTTGACTTCTACCCTTCGAATATGTTTTAAGAAATTGTCAACGCAGTTGCGCTGAGCCAGTACGCACGTTAGTTGAGTTTATTCCGCGCCGAACACTTTTATGGGCACCTGCCTTAACCCCTTTCATGGAGACCGAAATGCAACCCCGCCGCCGCCCCCCCTCCCTTACCTTTCCCAGTGTAAGGGTTAAGGGCTTAGGATTTAGGGTGGCTCTAGGCTGCAGGGTTCTCGCGTTTGCAGGTACTGGTACCTGGACAGCAACGAGGAGGCACCAAGAGAGTGGGCTATTGGGGACTAGGATGAGCCTTAACACCCTGAAGTCCTAACGATAAAGCCCTGCACCCTACATCCGAAACCCCTCAACCCTGAACCCGACACCCCAACACCCCAAACCCTAACCCTACGGTTTAGCCCTGAACCGTCAGCTCAAAAACCCTCCATAAACCCTAAGCGCCAAAACCCGAAACCCGAAAACCCTAACCCTGAACTCTCAACCCTAAACTTTAAACCCTAAGCCCTAAACCCTAAGCCCTAAGCCCTAAGCCCTAAACCTTAAGCCCTAAACCCTAAACCCTAAACCCTAAGCCCTAAGCCCTAAGCCCTAAGCCCTAAGCCCTAAGCCCTAAAAGCCCTAAGCCACCTTTCCGTTGGAGGTGTCGCCCTTCCGAGGGTCGGCCAATGCAGACTACCAGATGGGTGGGGCGGACCGTGCTCTCTCTTTCTCTTAGGCTTTTTTTTTTTTTTTTTTTTTGGGGGGGGGGGGGGGGGGGGGTGGGTTAGGGTTTAGGGTTTAGGGTAAAGGGTAAAGGGTAAAGGGTTTAGGGTTTAGGGGCTTAGGGTTTATGGAGGGTTTTTAGGGTTTAGGGTTTCTCATACGCTTTTTGGGGATAAGGGTTTAGTGTTTACAGCGTGTATAGGGTTTACAGGGTTTTAGGGTCACTTAGGGTTCATAGGTTTTTTTAGGGTTTACAGGGTTTATAGGGTTTATAGGGTTTACAGGGTTTAGAGGGTCTAGGCCTCGCTCGCTCTCTCTCTCTCTCTTTCTCTCTCCTTCTCTCTCTCTCTCTCTTTTTGTTTTTTTTTTTTCTCTCTCTCTCTCTCTCTCTCTCGCTCTCTCGCTCTCTTTCTCTTCGGTCTGGGTTTATTGGGCTAGGGTTTAGGGTTCAGAAGCGGGGGTGGGTGTGGGTGGAGGTGGGGCGGGGTTGGTGGGGGGTGGTGGTGGGGGATTGTAGGCCTAAACCCTAGCTAAGTGATCACGCGATGATTGAGCTTCAGGATTTTTACCTCGGTTGCTCCAGATAGTTTGGAGTGTTGGAGGTCGATCATCTAGGTTCTGCACATGGTTATTGACTCTTTCGGGCATGAAAGCAGTTGCAGTAACATCCCTTACAGGTTAAAACTTCATGAATAAATACATAACTGGACACAGAAATTCATAAACATACACAACAAACATACATACGTACATGTTAGTACATCTGTGTGTATATGTGATATATATATATATGTATAGGTATATCTGTTTTATGCAGTTAAGTATGTTTAGATGCACTGCAGTACGACATGCGTGCATACAGACATGGGTACTTACTTACGCCCCATTTGGGTTTAGGGTTTAGGGTTTAGGGTTTAGGGTTTAGGGTTACTAGAGACTGACCTTCGCTACTCGCTCCCCCCAGCTGCAGGGCGATGTGTCGCGTTGGATCCAGAACCAATGAAAGTTTAGGGTTTAGGGTTTAGGGTTTAGGGTTTAGGGTTTAGGGTTTAGGGTTTAGGGTTTGCGTCCCAACTTCTGAACCCTAGAACCCAAACCCATGGCGGTTGGGCCGTGGATTCTTCGCAGCTGGGGGGCTTCATAAGCGTTCAGGGCTTGAGGGCTTAGGGGACTTCAACGTCCCAAAAGCTCAGCAGCCAAGAATTCACGCGCTTGTCACAAGCCCCCTCTCCCGCAGTCTTCTGCTCGCGCAAGCCCAAGAGCCCCTGAAATCTGAAGCTTTTGGGGTTTAGGGTTTAGGGTTTAGGGTTTAGGGATATTCTAAACCCCCTCGAGCCCTAAGCCCTATGTAAACTCTAAAGTTGCAACGGTGAGGACGGAGAGGAGTGGATGGTCTTTAGCGATTCCATGAAGATGGGCAGGCAGGAATTCGTAGTTGAGGATTTCTGCTTTGTAGTTGCCATTTAGGGGACAGTTCTTTGTTCACTTTTAGTACTACCCATACCCAAAACACTAAACCCTAAATGCTAAACCAGAATTAGTAAGGTGTTCATAGGGTTTGGCGGGTGCAGGACGTCGTCGCAAGGACACAGTTCATGGAGTCTCTTTTTTTCGAACCCTCGATCGGTTTCCTTAAACCCACAACCCTTAACTCTAGGCCCTAAAAATCTGGTTGGGGGGGGGGGGGAGGCGGGGGGTCACGGGCGGCGTTCTAAATTCTGGGCTCGGTTTGGGCATCTTGATACAAAGGCCTGTATTGTAATTCAACACTTACCCACGACAGGACCTAAGTTTCGGAAACCTACCAGGGCTACGCATGAGGCAGGGACCATACTACTGTTATTGGTGAGTGTGTTGACTCCTTGAAAGTGGTGAGAGCACATTTTGGATGTCCGTTGGGGGACACTAGCAATAAAAGAGCCCTACCACCCCAAACCCTAAACCCTCAACCCTCAACCCTAAACCCTAAACCCTAAACCCTAAACCCTAAACCCTACCCCTGTTGGGAGCTCAGGCTATAGATCTTTCATAAGGTTTCCAATGCATGCCCCCACAAATCAAACTCGCCTAAACCCGAAACCCGAAGTTCAGGGCAAGCCCTAAACCCAAAAACCCTAAAACCCTAAAGCCCTAAAACCCTAAAACCCTAAACCCCCTCCTGCCGCTGCCAGGTTCAACTCCATCATGGACTCCTCCCTCGTCTTCTCGCCTTTCGTCCTTCTCTTCGCCAACGCGCTGCTGATCAAAGAGAAGGAGGGAGAGGCGCCATGACAAGCCCTTCAATTCAGCCTTAGGGTTCTTAGGGTTCTTAGGGTTCTTAGGGTTCTTAGGGTTCTTAGGGTTCTTAGGGGGTGTTAGGGTTCTTAGGGGGTGTTAGGGTTCTTAGGGGGTGTTAGGGTTCTTAGGGGGCGTGAGGGTTCTTAGGGGGCGTGAGGGTTCTTAGGGGGCGTTAGGGTTCTTAGGGTTCTTAGGGTTCTTAGGGGTTCTTAGGGTTCTTAGGGGGTGTTAGGGTTCTTAGGGTTCTTAGGGTTCTTAGGGTTCTTAGGGGGTGTTAGGGTTCTTAGGGTTCTTAGGGTTCTTAGGGGGTGTTAGGGTTCTTAGGGGGTGTTAGGGTTCTTAGGGTTCTTAGGGTTCTTAGGGTTCTTAGGGTTCTTAGGGTTCTTAGGGTTCTTAGGGTTCTTAGGGTTCTTAGGGTTCTTAGGGTTCTTAGGGGGTGTTAGGGTGTTAGGGTTTAGGGTTCAGGGACTTCCCCCCTTTTTTTTGTTCAGGGGGGTCGGGCTGTTGGATCTATGTTGTTCCCCCCAACACCGGGTCGTCTCTTGCGGCTTTAAGAAAACTATGTGCGGGGCCTCGTGTCTGCAGTGAGGTTTGGGGTTTAGGGTTTAGGGTTTAGGGTTTAGGCTTCATAAACCCAGAACTTCTTGAAGCAGCAATGCCTTGTCAGATCCGCTTCGACAAGTGGTACGCCTACATTCAGCAAGGAGCAGTGGACGAGTTGCTGTGTGATTCTTGGGGGGGACTGGGGGGGGGAGGTTTCTCTGTGCAAAGCTGGCAGACATACTCATCCCCCTTCCTTCTCATGCTGTACCTTTTGAAGCCGTAAACCCTACACCCTAAATCCTAACCCCAAACCTCTAAACCCCAAAACCCTAAACTGAACTGCTCCCCTCCTTGGTTCTGAGTAGCGATCTCCCCAAGTCCTGTCTTGAGAACTGCCCAGGACCTCTTAAGACCCCCCCAAAAACGTTAGACCACGAAAGTTTGGACTGAACCGTGAAAACCCGAACCCTAAGCCCCAAACCCTAAACCCTAAGCCCTAAGCCCTAAGCCCTAAGCCCTAAGCCCTAAGCCCTAAGCCCTAAACCCTAAACCCTAAACCCTAACCTCTTCGTTCTGCACACACAGCGGGCTGTGGCTGCAGGACCCTGGATCAAGGAGCTGCTGTACCTCCGCAGCCAGGCGAACTCGCTCGGTTTGGGGTTTTGAGGGTCCAGCCATCGGCTGGGATTTGGCCAGGGTTTGGGTTTAGGCTTCAGGGTTTAGGGCTCAGGGCTTAGGGTGGGGTTGTTGGGATTTAGTTGCTCAACACGCTGATCCTGAAACATTCTGGAGCCTTGATTTACAAGCTCGAAAGGCTTTGAGCTCTTGAAGGGATTATCAGAGGTCAGGGTTTAAGGATACAAGGGTTTAGGCTTTAAGGTTTAGGGTTCAAGGGTGGAGGGTTTAAGGGTTTTATATTGGCTTCAGGGTTTAGGGTTTCGGCTAGGACCGGGAGTCGGCCCTTTTTTCCTTTCTTAGGGTTGGGGTTCCCTTATGCTCCCCTTCAAACCAAAACGTGCGCCCTTTTTATTCCTAGGTTACTCCCGGGTCTAGTACACCCTAAACCCTAAATCCTCCTAAGAACCCGAGGGTTTAGGGTGTATTAGCCTTGCCACAGTCAGCCCCTCGCTTTCTTTTCCGTCCCCAGGTGAGCCATCAACCCCAGACCCTAGACCCTAAGCCCTAAGCCCTAAACCCTAAACTGGCCCTAAACCCTAAGCCCTAAGCCCCAAACCCTAAACCCTTATCTCAATCTTCGCCTCGTCACTGAAATAAGCTTTTAGGCAAGCATCCCCCCCAACCTGAAGAAGCCCGCCAGGTGATGCCGCAGTTCAAGGACCAATGCCGGGATGGCTTGTTTGAGGGTTTACGGTTTAGGCTTTCGGGTGTAGGGTTTAGGGTTCAGGGTTTATATGTTCAGAGGTTTGAGGTGTTTAGGGTTTTATGCTTCTCGAGCTTTTCGGGCTTGTGCCTCCTCTTTCGCGCGAGGAAGCCATGGAAGCGAGAAACATCGCCGAGTTCCCCAGAGAGCTGGTGGCGCGCATGGTGGACTTCCTCAGGACCCGTTCAGGGTTTGGGGTTTAGGGATTAGGGGTCTTAGGATTTTGGGCCTTTAGGGTTTTAGGTGGACTTCCTCAGGCCCTTAAGGTTTCAGGGTTTTAGGGTTTTAGGGTTTTAGGGTTTTAGGGTTTTAGGGTTTTAGGGTTTTAGGGATTTCGGGAGGGTTTCAGGGTTTTAGGGTTTTAGGGTTTTTAGGGTGTTAGGGTTTCAGGGTTTTGGGGTTTTAGGCTTAGGGTTTTAGGTGGACTTCCACAGGCCAAGGGACTAAAGGAGTGACCCTTATGAGGGACCTGAGGGTTTTCCTTAGGTATGTAGGGAATATAAGGTATCCCACCCCCCCGGCCCCTTGTGATATTCTCGGTCTTAGGGTTAAGGATTCAAGGGTTTCAGGGTGTTAGGGTTTTAGGGAGAGTCTTAGGCGGACTTCCTCAAGGAACCCCCCCCCCCCCCGCCCCCCATGATTCTATCGGTCTTTCTGGTGTTGTATTTAGGGTTTAGGGTTTAGGGCTTTTACCGCGCGAGATCCCGTGAGACCTGTTGAGCAGCCGCTCTCAGTCTTTGAGGCATGGGCAGTTCCCTTATTGTGGTCCCTTCGTTTGGGGAAATCTGAAATCATGGACACCCTCAACCCCCAAAAGCCCCAAGCTCTAAACCCCTAACCCCTAAACTCCTAAACTCCTAAACCTCAAACCCTAAACTCCTAAACTCCTAAACCCTAAACTCCTGAACCCTAAACCCTAGATCCTAAACCCGAACCCTGTTGTCAATGCAAATCTCCAGGCAGCGGCCAATCCGGCTAGACAAGATCGAGGCTGCGTCGGGGTGGGCCCAGACCAGGGTTTCAGGCTTGAGGTTTCGTAAAGGGTTTATGGAGTGGCGAGTTTAGAGTTTAGGGTTTTGGAGTTTAGGGTTTAGGAGTTTAGAGTTTAGGGTTTTGGAGTTTTGGGGTTGAGGAGTTTCGGAGTGTCGGGGTTCAGGCTTCAGGGTCTCTACCACTAGCTTCGTCCACATGGGGCTTTGGGATTTCAGGGCTGGCCCAGACTTGGCGTTCAGGGTTCAGGGTTCAGGGTTTAGGGTTTAGGGTTCAGGGTTCAGGGTTCAGGGTTCAGGGTTTAGGGTTCAGGGTTTAGGGTTTAGGGTTTAGGGCTAGGACTCAGACGTCGCTCCAGGCTGCGCCTCGCTCCATCGATGAAGAGATCACAGGCCATGTGGGGTTCAGAAGGATGCCTTGCATCTGAGGGTTGAGGGTTTAGGGTTCAGGGTTTAGGATTTAGTGTTTGGGGTTTGGGGTTTGGGGTTTAGGGTTTAGGGTTTGGGGTTTGGGGTTTGGGGTTTAGGGTTTAGGGTTTAGGGCTTGAGTCTTGGCTGCCCAGTGGTGCCCCCTTTTGCTCCCTTTCTTTGGGGTTCTTAGGCTCACAAGGTAGCCGGCCCCACAAAGGGTACCCTCTCTTTGAAGATGGCTACTGGGCTACCAAGGGGGTTTCGGGTTTAGGGTTTAGGGTTTAGGGTTTAGGGTTTAGGGTTTAGGGTTTAGGGTTTAGGGTTCGTATTCAGGTTTTTTGGTGGTGTTGCACCGCCAAGTTTGTAAGGAAGATAAGTTTGCGCCGTAGCTGAGGGAGATGGTCCACGTGCTCATAGCCCTCCGGGAAGAGTGAACATTCCGAAAGCACATGCAACCTGAAACCCCTGGCCCATGAAGCTTCAGATCGTGTGACTCTGTCTGTCTGCCTGTCTGTCTGTCGGTGTGTGTGCCTTGCAACCCTGTCTAGCCTCAACCCTACACCCTAAACCTAAACCCGAAACCCTGAATCAATCCCATCGGAGGCTTGGGGTCTACTGGCCTTCAGGGGGTTGGCCTAAACCCTAAACCCCAAACCCTAAACCCTAAACCCTAAACCCTAAACCCTAAACCCTAAACCCTAACCCTAAACCCTAAACCCTAAACCCTAAACCCCAAACCCTAAGAAGTGAGCCTAACCTGGCGGCAGGCGCGGCGAGAAAGCAGATCTCTACCTTCGAGTGGCCGGAGGCTCCATATGTCTAAGGTTGGAACCACGGGCCCTTAGTAGGTTTAGGGGTTGGGGGGTTTAGGGTTTTAGGGTTTAGGGTTTAGGGTTTAGGGTTTAGGGTTTAGGGTTTAGGGTTTAGGGTTTAGGGCTCAATAAGGCAGTAAGGTCCCCTACGCTTGTTTAAATTAAAGGGAGTCACATGGATTTGAAGCGATCCGAAGTATGCTTCCTTGTTATATGTAGTAAATAGAATACACTATACAATCACAGGGGACCCAGATTAAGGGCCCATACGCCATCCCCTAACACATCATTGTTGTAGCTTCCCTTCACGACCCTTAACCTTAAGGCCTTTGAACCTTTCGGCCTTTGAACCTTTTGGCGTTTTGAGACCCTTAAGGCCTGCTTGTCTTAATTAGTTGTTTATACGGGCCTTGCATCGATCCGGGACGATGGGGAGGCAAGCAAAGCCTAGGTTTGCAGGTTTTTGGGTTGAGGGTTCAGGGCTATGTCCCTGATCCGGGGAGGGGTGGGAGGTGGGAATTGGCGTAGATTGTGGAAAGTGCTGGGTGCAAGGCGTAGGGGAGTGGGTAGAGCTCTTGGGACAGTTGATGTGTTCACCTCTTGGGTTTAAGAGAATCAGGGTTTAGAATCTTTTTAGAGGCTTCAAAGGGCCGTAGCAGGGAATATTTTCCACAGGGTTTTATAGGTATTCTTCAAAATCAAACAGGGCTTGTATACCCCCCCCCCCCCTCCGCGCCCAAATTCCATAGTCCTTATCAACGGACCCCCGAAACGGGTAATTACCTCTACTTACGCCCATGTGTGGGTTAAGAGGGTTCAAGTTTCACGTACGGCGTAGGGGCTTAGGGGCTTAGGGTTTAGGGTTTAGGGTTTATGTAGCGTTTACAAAAGTTTAGAGGAAAGTTTAAGGGGACATGGAGACGATGATAAGCTTTGTATGTGGGTTTTGTTCATGTAACATGTAGGATTTACAATAGTTTAAGGTTTGGGGCTTCAAGGGATCCTATAAGGGGTCCAGGGCTGCGGATTTGCAAGCTCAGCTGAGGTCTTTCAATTCTAGTTTTGATAAGTCCCACTTTTGTTTAGCGGCCTATTGTAGTGTCTTCCTGTCTCCTAAGCCCTAAACCCGAAACCCTAAACTCTACACCCTACACCCTATACTCCACACCTGAGGATCCTATGAGCCCTAACTCAAAAAACCAAAACCATTCCAGGATCACGGAGAGGAGGAGGAGGAGGAAGAGGAGCAGTGAGAAGTGGCACGAAACGCGCCGGTACTGGTTGGGGATCGCAGCATTGCTGCACCCTGAGCCCGAAAACTCAAACCCGAGCGCCTCCCTCAACCCTGAGCCCCTGCAGCTTGTAGCCCTAAACCCTAAACCCTAAACCCTTAACCCTTAAACCCTAAACCCTTAAACCGCAAGACTCAACATAGCTTCTTCCTACAGCCATCGAAGACGGCGCAGGGTGCCTTAAAGTGAATATTTAAATGGTCGACTTCCGGGTGTAAGAGAGTATTTGGGACTTTGCAGGGGGCTTACTGAAGGACCCCCAGGAGCCCTAAACCCTGCATCGTGCATGCTGCCCCGAAAGCCCTAAACCCCAAACCCCAAACCCAATCCCTAAACCCTAAACCCCAAACCCTAAACCCTAAACCCTAAACCCTAAACCCTGCAAACCCAGACCCCAAAACAGCCCAGAAGACCTGAAGCTTGCTTCCCCAACATCTCTGGCAACCAAGCGGCTAATGCTGAAAGTCCTGCGTGCCACGGCTCACACTAGGGTTTAGGGTTTAGGGTTTAGGGTTTAGAGTTTAGAGTTTAGAGTTTAGAGTTTAGAGTTTAGAGTTTAGAGTTTAGAGTTTCGGGTTGGTTTAGGGTTTCGGGTTTGGGGGTTCAGGGTTACAAGGCTTAGGGTTCCTGAAGCTTCCAGCCCTCAAGCATCTGTGGACCTGGAGCCCTAAGCGTTGTATATGTTTATACACATACTCATATTATATATACATGTGTACAAACACATAGTATATATATATACACACATACATACAGATCGAGTCTTCCAGGTCCGAAATCCTAAGCCCCGCCCCTACACCCTAAACCCTATACCCTTAATCCTAAATCCTGAACTTCACATCCTTGCAAATCTCATGCCCTGAGAGACGACGACGACGACCAGAGAAGTGAAGACCAACAACAGCAACTCCTAAAACCCTGAGCCCTACACCCATTGAAACAGCATCCTGTGTTTAGGGCTCTGGGGGTTTAGGGTTTAGGGTTTAGGGTTTAGGGTTTAGGGTTTAGGGTTTAGGGTTTAGGGCGTGTGGGTCGACTAGAGCTCAGGCTGTTCTCAAGCATGGGATGTCGTGCGCCTGTGGCCACCACGCGGAGACAGTAGGACTCAGGAACTTAACTGAGGACACTGGGGCCAAGGCTTAAAAGGACTCATCAGCCATAGGGCTTCTTGGGTTTAGGGTCTAGGGTGTTTAGGGTTTAGGGTTTAGGGTTTTTCAACCCTTAACCCCAAACCCTCAGACCCTCAAAAACCCCTAAGCCAACTAGGGCCGTTAACGCTAAGCCCTTCAACCCTCCAACCCTGAAACCCCTAACCCGCAAACCCTCAAGATCCCCTGAAGCCAACTAGGGCCGTTCTCTAGAAGGAAAGGCGCCCCAACCCGAACCCGAAACCCTAAACCCGAAACCCTGCAACCCTGCAACCCTTAAACCCCTAACCCTCAAAGCCCCCTAACCAGTTCCGCCTTCTAACCCCAAACCCTAAACCCCAAAACCCTAAACCCTAAACCCTAAACCCGAAAAGGAGCCAGCCCAGTGTCTAAAGTATTGCGAAGGACAGAGAAATCAAAAGGCGACAGTCACCTTCAGGTCCCCACATGCCCAGGGTTTAGGGTTTAGGGTTTAGGGTTCAGGGTTTAGGGTGTAGGGTTTAGGGTTTAGGGTTTAGGGGTTTAAAAATCAGGGTTTAGGGTGTGTTCATATGGAATCACAGATGTCACAGGGTTCATAGTGTTCATACGGTTCATATGGGTTCATAGGCTTCGTAGGCTTCATAGATATCACAGGGTTCATAAGGGGTTTGCGGCTCAGGGTTTAGGGTTTAGGGTTTAGGGTTTAGGGTTTAGGGAGGGCTTAGGGTTTAGGGTTTAGGGTTTAGGGTTTAGGGTTTAGGGTTTATTGGGGTCCCTGTGTGGGAGCCCCGTCTTGTGAGGAGCCCTCTTGCGAAAGAAAGCTACAAGGGGACCCCCGATTCCCCCAAATCGGTACCAATCCCACCCGACCCCCGACCCCCTTTTCATGTAAGGAGCCGACTAAGCGTGTCGGTCTTTTGCCTACAAGCCCTTCAGCCCTATAGACCCCAAAACTCTAAACCCCCTAAACCCCCTAAACCCCCTAAACCCCCTAAACCCCTAAACTCTAAACCCCTAAACCCTCAACCCCTAAACCCTAAAACCTTTCACACCCTGCTACAGTATACAAAACACAAAAGCTGGGCAGCAACCCTAAACCCTAAACCCTAAACCCTAAACCCTAAACCCTACGTATCAAAAAAAAGCTGGGCAGCTGGGACCTCTCGGATGACCGGCCGTCATGGCCTAGTTTTGCCTGGGCGCCTTAGGAAAGCACGCCTCAGCTTTAACAAAAGCAGCACCCTTTTCGCTGCATGGGGGTGCGGGGGGCGGGGGGAGGTTTGGGTGTAGAGTTTAGGGTTTAGGGCCTTTAGGGTTTTGGGTTTAGGGTTTAGGGTTTAGGGTTTCTGCTGTGTGGGGGTGGGGGGGGGGGGGCTGTTCAGGGTATAGGGTCTAGGGATTTAGGGTTGAGGGTGTAGTAGTGTCGGGTTTTGTGGAGTTTTAGGTGCATGGGAGGTTCAGGTTGAGGCTAGAGGGCTTCGAAATGAAACCAAGGGTTTAGGGTTTTGGGTTTTGGGTTTTGGGTGTAACCCTAAACCCTGTCTGAAGTACCTCCTGCTACCCTAAACCCTGTACCAAAAATCTCGTCCTGTGTGTGTGGTGTGTCCGGCTGCACGCTTATCCACTTCAGCCCTAAACTGAGAGGTTTTAGGTCAAAGGTACTCTATAGGGGGGGAAGTGGCGTTACCTGATCCCTTTATACCCAACCTAGAACTGCGTCCAGGGTTTGGGGTTTAGGGTTTAGGGTTTCGGGTTTCGGGTACTGAGAAGAGAATGCTTCGGGAGGAATGAGCTGTCCCCCTGGTTTGAGCGCCGGCGTGTGGCCTGTGACTCAACCCCAAGCCCTAAGCCCTAAACCCGAAACCCTAAACCCTAAGCCCCAAACCCCAAACCCCAAACCCCAAACCCTAAACCCCAAACCCCAAACCCAACCCTACACCCCACCCAGGTGAAGGTACGAAAGGCTGGCAAGGCTGGCAAGAAGGCCAAAGAGAAGAAGCCACAGACGAAGGCGCATTTGCTAAGTTCCCCAGGAAAAGCTGGGAGATGTTGGGGTGTAAGATTCGATGATGATGCGTAGCCGTAGCCTTATATGTCCGAATCGGAGAACCCCCCCCCCAAAAAAAAAAAAAACACAAGATAAATCGCTCAATCTCCGGCTTTCTGGAAAAGATTGCGGTTTCCTAATGCCGTCCATGTGGGCAGTTTCTTAGGGTAGTTACATGGTCCCGTAGTATGGGCCCTCAAAAGGGTGCCCCTTATATGCCCCTTACAATATTAAGGGCCCATACATCAGAACCCTTTAGGGGGAGGTTAGGGCCATGTGAAGGGCCCACGAAAGTACCCTCAGACAGTTCTCTAAAGTTTGAACTCCTTCTCCTTGAGGTCTATAATCGGGGGGGGGGGGGGGGGGGGGGTGGGGTTCTATAATCCCTATTACGGACTGTTTAGGGTTTAGGTTTAGGGCACTATAGTCCCTATGTACGTAGGACCTCTATGTATAGTGTGGGAAATCCCCTTCTGTATGTCTCTCTCTATATATATATATACTTATAGGTATCTATAATTAAAATATTTAAGAAGTAAACGTTTTAAATTTTACTAATTTTACTCTTAAGGCAAAACTTTTAAATTTTTTAAAATTTATAAAAAAACATGAATATATAAAATGTATAAAATTTATAAAATTTATAAAGCTGCCTTCTACACTTGAGCAAACCAGGCTTTATAAATTTTATAAATTTTATAAATTTCACCTTAAGGATAAAATTTATATAATTTATAAAATTTAGAAAGTTTTGGGTTCAGGCGTCCCGGGAAACCTTTAAAATTTAGAAAAGTTATAAAATTTATAAAGTTTTTAAAGCTTCCTTCTAAACTCGAGCAAACCAGGCTTTATAAATTTTATACATTTTCTAAATTTCACCTTAAAGGGTAAAATTTATACAATTTATAAATATATAAAGTTTTGGGTTCAGGCGTCCCGGGAAACCTTTAAAATTTATAAAAAATATACAATTTATCAAATTAATAAAATTTATAAAATTTATAAAACTTATGAAATTTGTAAAGCTTCCTTCTACACTTGAGCAAACCAGGCTTTATAAATTTTATAAATTTTATAAATTTCACCTTAAGGGGAAAATTTATATAATTTATAAAATTTATAAAGTTTTGAGTTCAGGCGTCCCGGGACACTTTTAAAATTTAAAAAATTTATAAAGTTTTTTGAATTTATAAAGCTTCCTTTTACACTTGAGCAAACCAGGCTTTATAAATTTTTCAAATTTTATAAATTTCACCTTAAGGGAAAATTTATAAACTTTATAAAATTTATAAAGTTTTGGGTTCAGGCATCCCGGGAAACGTTTAAAATTTATAAAATTTATAAAATTTATAAAATTTATAAAATTTATAAATTTTATAAAAACTTATAAAGCCTGGTTTGCTCAAGTTTAGAAGGAAGCTTTATAAATTTTATAAATTTTATAAATTTTATAAATTTTATAAATTTTAAAGGTTCCCCGGGACGCCTGAACCCAAGACTTTATAAATTTTACAAATTTTTCCCTTAAGGTGAAATATTATACAAATTATAAAATTTATAAAGATGTATAAAGCCTGGTTTGCTCGAGTTTAAAAGGAAACTTTATAAATTTAATACATTTTGTAAGTTTTATAAATTTTATAAATTTTAAAGGTTTCCCGGGACGCCTGAACCCAAAACTTTATAAATTGTATATATTTTATAAATTTTCCCTTAAGGTGAAATGTATAAAATTTATAAAAATTTATAAAGCCTGGTTTGCTCAAGTGTAGAAGGACGCTTTA